TGATTTATAATATTCGGTATTTTTTGTCAGTTTATTACAGTGGTGGAAAAAATTATTGCACCACCCAATTTATTTTCACTGAAATATTTGTTTGGTTCCTGTAAGTTTTTACCAGAACTAGTGTAAAACTGTTATGAACATTGTGTGGTGTAAGCTGACTCGTATTTCAGTAATCCAAACACATATATGCATCCTTATTAACAAACCAACCATGAAATACATATTACAGCAGATGATCAACAAATAGGCAAATACGAAAATGTTCTCTGAGTAAGAAAACCTAGGTTTAAAGATAACACCTCTAATTTAAATGATAAAAAGTAGTCACAGAGTCTGATTCTTGTTTTAATATTTGGTTAGGCCTCACTGACCTTAATAACTGCTTGCCATCGTCGTGACACAGAGTGCATGAGGGACTGAATGTAGGCAGGAGCGAGTTCATGATGCCACATGCAGTTCCAAGGTGCTTCTCAGTTTCTTCTCTTACACTTTGTTACCCATTACCTTCCAGGAATTATCGATAAGGTTGAGGTCTGGGCTGTTGTTTGGCCAGCATAGTGTCGACATCTTCTACTTCGAAAGCAGGTTTCATCTGAAGCAATGAAATTAAACCTACATTGTCTTTTCAACACACGCAGAGTGAAATGTTCTATTTATTTCACGTCTGTTTTATACAGTGGTCAGCTCTAACAAAGTGATCCCGAATTGTTGGCCATAACTGGGACTCGAGAGTCTCAATGTACTTCTCGGCATTGACAGTACCCTTCACAAAATGCAGCCATCCCACACCCTGGCCAGAGATGCATCCACATATCACCTGACCCTGCGGATGCTTCATAGTTGCATCCAAACATGCTGACTAAACTCTTCTCCACACCAACGTCATACAAAGTGCTTCCCATCAGACCCGTGTAGGTTGAACTTTAATTCGTGTAAGAAAATCACTTTATTTCACATTGCTTCTGTCCAGTCATCGTGCTCTTTGGCCCAGTTGAGCCTCATCTTGTTGGTGATGAGAGGTTTCTTTTTGGTAATCTTGCTGGAAGACCAGCTAAACACTGGGCGAGACTGCGGTGTACGCGGTGACAGTAGCCCCTGAAGTTTCTTGCTGTGCTCTTTTGAGACCTGTGAATGACAGTCGACTATTCTACCAGCTCATGCGTATCAGAACATGATCGTCAGCTACTGTGGAAACTTTTTCCCTATACCTTCCTTTTTGCCGTTCCA